TATTTTGATGGGTCCACAACATACAACATACTGACTACGAGAAACTTTGCAAGTATATGTCAACTTATTCTACTAACCCTAAACCTAACCTAACGGTCTACTCTGAGAGTTAGTAGACATGTAGTTGCAAATTAATGAGAATTAGTTGACATGTAGTTGCAAAGTCACTTATAGTTAGTAGAATGTCTAAAGTGGACTATCAAAATAAAGTGTAACCACTAACCACTAATAAAAATGTAAAATAAATTATTTAAACACTTGAACACTAAAAATAGAAATATTTAATTTGTTCAACTGCACATCAGTGTGGCCATTAAGTGACATCAAACTGTAAACATGCAAATGTATTGTTAAATTACTGAATTATTAACTTCTTCAGAGATATTTCAAGTAAATATTTTATGTTAAGGGTGTTGGCTGACAGAAACATTTGGGAATATAATATAATATTATGAATAATTGTCATTGTGTGAATGATATGTAATCATGTAATCCATAAAACGTAACTGTGATCTGATTATAAGCATTTTAAAATATAATATACTCTTAAGTATTTATTTTTGGAATCTGATTACGTAATCCAGATTACATGTAATAAATTACTAGCCAGCACTAGTGTGTAACACTAAAAGCATGTTTAGTTTAATTCGAAACAGATAAAAGTGAATCTTACATTGTTTTATTACATTGGTCTTTGTATTGTGGCAGTTCGGAAAATTAAATGTCTGGTGAGTGGCTCTAAAAGGTTAATGCTCTATCGTGTTTGAAAACATACTGAACGACCTAGTTTACAAATCTTGCAATGTTAAAAGTTATTTGAAGTCATAAAATAGTATTGTCCACGAAACCACACAAAATAAGTCTTTATTAATCAATAATCAGCCTCTGTATTCACTTTGTTTGAGAAGTAAAAGTTGCTGGTGTTTTACTATCACTAGTTCTCATTGCATTATTTACAGGTAGTTTTTTGTTTGTTTGTTTTACAAAAAAGGTAAGTTTTTCCAATGAGCCTTGGTTTATTGATCTGAGTTGTGCTTTTATTTCAAAAGGCATGCAAGATGTATGCTTTGGCTGTTGGAATCCATGACTGACTTGGAAACCGGTGTAAAATCAATAGTTTGTAATAGAACTGTTTGGTTTGGGCTACAATCAAGTAGATTACATTGGTTGGCTTTACTTGACGACGTGCCTTTATAAACAGGAGGAGATCAAGAAAAGGATATGCCTTTGGAATTATAGTCTAGTTAATTGAAACAGCAAGCACTCGAGCACACAGGAAGAAACATGTGGGCCAAGGTCATGTAGATACAGCTGAAGCTGAGGCAGTGGAGACAATTTCAGGGGGAGTTTACACAGGCTTTGGCCATGAAAAGAGGTGGATGCTGTACACACAGGTATGAGAGAACCAGCTGTTTCCAAGGACACACTGATGGTTAGTTTGTGTAAAGGGGAGGCAGCCAGGGGTATTAGCAGT